AACTGGCCAATGAGTCCATTGCCGAGTACCGACAGCGGTTCCAAGCTCAGCTCGCACTGATCGAGGCTGAGGAACAGCGTCAGGTGGCAGCCGATACTGCCCGCCTACAGGCTGAAGCGGCGGCAGTAGCTGAAAAGCAGCGACTTCAGGCCGAAGTTGACGCAGATGCCCAGGCCCACTGCAAGGAGGCCCAGGATCTGCTACAACGGCACGAAGCCGCCAGCATCGAAAAGTTCAAGTTCTGGCATTTTGAACCATCCGAGAACCACGAAGACGCAACACCGAAAGAGCAGCACAAGGAATTTCTTGCCAAACTCGTGACCCGGTTGGCTTACACTTGTAACAACCTGCAGTCTGAGCTGGTGAATCTCCGACGGGCGGTGCGGAACCACAAGGATCTGCACGAGGATGCTACACGGGCACTTGATTCCCGTGTACAGGACTTGGAGCAAGTTGCACCAAGACCGGATGCTGGCGAGTCCAGCAGTGCACCCTCTACCCGCCAATTGGAGGAACGAGTTGAAGGATGGCAACACCAGTGCACAGCACTACAAGATGCCAACATTCCGCATCAAGAAGTTCGATGATTATACGCATCAAGACCCGGTCCCCTGGTGGGAGGGCTTTACGACGGAACTTCGGATTCTTTTTGTCCCTGAGCACTCGTACATCGGCGCGTTGTTCCTCAACTCAAACGGCGGATGCCAAATTTGGGTCAGCCACCTGGCAACCATCCACGACGTCCAGGTCGCCGACCTACATAAGAAGATCTCTTGGGAAGAGTTGACGAAGCTATGGAAGAAGCGGTTCATTGTGGACGACGCCCCGACGCTCGCCATCAACCGCTTCGCCATGACCCAAGGCAACACACCGACACGCGATTGGCTCACGGAATGGCAAAAGATCGTGGCAACGCCCGATCTCCAGTTGCCGTTTTCACATCTGCGCCAGGAGTTCTACAACCGGTCATGTGCCGCCTTGAGCCTCACACTTGGTGATCGCGAGCAATACACGACCTTCGCTGAAATCATCGACAAGGCAAGGGAGATCATCAAGACCAACAGGGCGGCTGCACACGAGAAGTCAGCATGGCAGCCAACCTATGTGGAGAAAGGAAAATTTGGTCCGCGTCCGCAGCATGTCGCAGCAGTCCAACCGGACAGCATTGTGGAAGACTCGGCAGCCACCCAAGCATCACGTGAGGGAGATCAGGTGGCCGTTGTCCAGCCGTTGTCAAGCGCATCGGCCCCCGTGCGAGCGAGGGCCCTCCCGGTCATGTCACGCAGGAGTAAAAAACAAAAACAAACTGTCAAGAGACAACTTGGGAACGACGCATAACATTCCGCGAACCGCCGAGACGGACGCGGTATCCCTTAGGGGCGTATCCCTACCGAGCTACTAAGGGGTTGTCACCACCCTTAGGGACGTATCCCTACCGAGCTACTGACCCACATGCGAAAGCTTTTAAATGCATTTGCAGAGGTAGATCAGCGGAGGGCGTTTGCTCGTCTCGCTGCAGTATAGGAGATGCTTGGTTAACGCCGAATGAACCCGAACGCCGTTCGTTCCTTGGGGCGCTGATCTCCCAAGTACAAAGCGTACGCCGGTCGACTAGGACAGTCTCAACCAAGCGTGAGGCTCTCAGATACAATCCTAGTCCCTAAACAATCATTTGAAAACAAAACAACAAAATCCATATAACTTAATAAAATCACGCAAAATTTAATCCAATTGACTTGATGAGCTTGTTTGCCAAAGTGTTTTTTTTCAACATGTATGACTTAAGAACTCTTTATATTGTCATTCTAAAATCAACAATTGAAGGAAAGAACTAGGACTGATCTTCCTATCATGGCTATTGAAGTTTGTCATAAATAACTTCTGCAAGTAAATACCACTGCTACCACGCAGATCAACAAGTGATCTGATTCCTTGTCGATGTTTGAACTCTCGGTTCGACCACACTTCTGTATCATACGCAACTACTTGGAGGAGCGAATGAAATTTTGTTGGTCGCTTTGTCCTCCTGGACAATAATTACTCTTTCTGTTCCATGAATAATGGAGTATCCATAAGTTACTCAACACAAGAATGTTCCGCCTCCCACTGCGCCGTCATCGTCATTACGCTCAACAACTTTTTCAGACATTCGCTTTTCACTTTATTCAGCTTATTTTTATGTGATCGATTACCCCTCAATGCATAAGCATGATAGTGAAATCATCGGGGTAATCCGAATACTATCCATCCGGTGGTCCTAACTACATGGAGTGTTTTTGTTTTTTTTTATTTTTGAGATTACCTCATGAAGCCATAATTTATATGGCTTCCTCGACGAGATTAGTCTATGCAAGGGGTTTCCTGGAATCTGGATAAGATTCCAGAAAGCGGCGTCTAACCTTAGTAAATCTGTCGTCCTCCACGCACCTGTACCTCCAGCAAATCCAAACGCGCACGCTCATCGTCGTCAAGTACCAGGGTTGTTACTCGCCCACCTCGCATGACTCTAAAAATCTGAGTACCATACAGGGAGGCCATCCGTGAGGCTAGTCTCCACACTATGACTCGGAAAGGCGGACTGAGTCCAAACAAATGTCTGGTCTCAGTATCCCGGATCCGGATGACGCCGAAACGCCTGTCGGACGAGGTAATCGTGATACTCACAATTACTCGAGAGAGACATTGGAGATTACTCGCGCGGTGGAAATACAAGGTATATCCGGAAAACTCATCCTGAGTCCGGGCCGTATTTGCTCGGAAATCCGCGCGAGTAGTGGGAAAAAATCCCTCACCGTTTCGTAATAATCCGATAAAGCCAATCCACTCAGTAGGAGAACCGTCGCGAACTCGTAAAAGTTGCTCCGCTCCTCTGATAAGATCGGCCTCATGTGTGTCGCAAACCAGCAGGCACCTCGAGGTCGTCAAGTCTCGTCGTGCTCCAGGCATCTGCGTGTCAGAACAAAACTGCGTTAGTCGCGTAAACGTTCCTCGAGTACGTCCTCCTGATCCTGCCATGCATACTCAGAGAAAGGTTCAACTCGTAGAATAATGAACCTGTTTGCCCGCACCCGTCTCGCATGATATATACCGAAGAATGAACCCTGTCGCTCGTTCATCCAAAGTACGGAGCGGACGAACGTCAACCTTATCTCCGGTATCTCATCCATTCGCGGGTTTATCTCATAAGGCTGCATCACTACTAAGTTCATGTTGGCGAAATCGTGATTGGACAGTGGTGGCGCAAACTCGTAGTGAAGAATGTCCAGACCGGTTTTTGACCTGAAAATGAGTCGCCTAGGAAGATTTTGCGCACTGCCATCCAAGAACCGCGGAACATCTTCCTCTGAGTATAATTCATAAGGGTTGTAGACGAGCCGTCCTATTCTTTCTAATCTTTCTCCTTTAAGTCTTTGGGACTCGACCCGTTCCGCCGCTGCATCACGATTTCGGAAAAGGTAACAGACCGTCGTTCCCGCAACCATCTGAAAGAAGTGAAGACAAAGGTGATCAAGTTAAAACTAAGTATTACTAACATTTGTCTTCCTTCTGGCCCGTGCTTCTTATGGCACGGCCAGCCAGGTCGAGAGTATCTAAATACACTCTGTTTGGCTAGTAGGACACGAACTGGGCTACTTATGGCACCAGTTCCCCATACGCCAGTGACTCCTAGAATGGCCACCAAAGGAGTGCTATGGCAGTTTTCTCCTTACGCAAGGCATCAAGAACTTAAAGTCCTTTCGTGAAGATGTTTTTATCCACCCCCCTAGGAGGTGGTCTGGGATACCCCTCGTCCTCGCCCGAGTAAAGCCCGGAACTCAGAAGTCGGGCTGGCTCCACCGCAACAGCATGGTACCCCCCCGCAAAGCGGTCCACTTTGAGTCGATAACAGGGTCGGCGCCTAACACAACGAACCCCCGCCTCAGATGTCTCCTAGGAAAAGGAAAAACATCTACACGACGGACAAGCAAACTCTTGCCGCCTAACGTCAAGAGCAACTTAGACGAAGAAAGGAACATCGTAAGAAGACAGTCATTTAGACTGACAGGCATAGACAGAAAGGGTCATTCGGGAAAGAAATAGGGAACCTTGGGGAATGAGTCTAAGTCCAATTGCGTCCCTCTTCTTTATGCTCGCTTCATTTTCATCGTCTTCTTTTCTCTCTAGTTTGCACGCACTCATAAGTAAAGAGATGAGAAAACAACCATTTTCTCCATCACCATTCCCCATCCATCTCAGTCCACATGCCGTACCTGCAAATCAAGTCAAACCACACATAGACCACCATACAATCCTTCGCCATCGTCAGACTCCTCATAACATATGCAAACACACATTTCCTTTTCTTTTCCAATGAATGTTCAGAGAACCAGTGTCAAGCAAGTGTGGGTTCACGCAGGTGTGGAGGGAAATGAATTAGATTAACTGACCTTGAGTGAGTTTGAACGGTACACTCAAGAAAACCGTATAGATTTACGTTCTCTTGACGAGAAGGTCGTCGCACCCAGTCGTCAGCAAAGTGATCAACACCACTCCCTTGTGACGACCGCCTGCCAGAATACCCTCTCAGCACACAATCACCTTCCAATAATCTGGCGGCGTTTTCTCGTTACCGCCACTTGCCTCCAAAGTTACAACGTCCGTGCGGCGTTACGCTTGCTCTACTTCAAAAATGCAACGCCGCTTTGACGCAACTTCTTTTGCCCTCATCCCCTTTGCTCTTTCTTGCGGAATTTCCTTCTTTTTTGTGGGCGGAGGCGCCACCGGTAAATGAAGGGCAGTTGTGTTCCTGTTAGACATAGTGTAAGATTCTGCAATGTCATCGCATTGTTTTGTCATAGTTTTTGGGCCTTGACCCTTTACTCTCAGCTCTTGCCTGTCAGGTTTCCTTTCGTTGAAGGACCTCTCTCTGATGCCGTAAAATAACATGCCCACCTGGGTACGGTTTGTGCCTGTTTATCGGCGTTGTGATTTGTGGATCTCTGGTTTGTGTGCTTGAGCAGGCGAAGTTGCTATCCCTTGTCGTTATGCGCTCAATGATCGTTGAGCGCAGCCCTCTGCCATGGATTGCTTCGGCCATGGATATATTTACGGTTACATTTCATAGCCTTCAGCGGGTGAGTGGAAAATTGTCTTCAGCCCCTGCTCATCCTGGCTCCAGAACACCTGGTAAGGGTACTCCGCCTGCCTTCACATCGAATTTGCAAACGACTCCAGGAACATATTCCACCCCTCAAAGCAGCCCTCGCCAGATTGCGCCTGCTGCCTCTGCAAGACCCGATGTCAGAATCGATGGCCGACATGGTTTCCGAAAAAGTCCCAACATTGGTGGCGAGCCGGCGATTTCCCCGCATTTCATGGGTGTGAACCGGACACCACCTTCTGGAAGCCAGCATGCAGATGGCTCCTGCGCGACAAGTCGCAACGAACGTGTTGCTAGAACTGGGGTGAGCTCACCGGAAGATTGGGTTTCAGTGGACCAGGAGGACCACGAACAGGAACAGGAACAGGACCAGTTTGCTCATGGCGTGTTTCTGGGGAGTATGGAGATGCCAGCAACAGAAAGCAGCAGGGAAGCGGAAGGAGCAGCAGGGGAGAGCGGTCGTGCTGAGGATTGTGGGTTGGTAAGGGGAAAGGAGAAATTAACAGAGGGTGTTGTCCAGCTAGAACATGAAGGGGGTGGGGGAAACATGTGGCAGTTAAGCACAATGATAGCACAGGATTCGATCCAGTGTGAGCTTGGAGGAGCAATTTACACTGGGGAGATCGTTCCCGATGAAACTGATTCAGATAGAATTGTGAGGGGAGCTGTGACAACGAGGAGGGCTGTGCATCAGGTACAAAATTCAGGTCAGGTTCAGGAAAGTAGTTCCAGTTCGGAATGGAAGGTGTTGATGTCGTTGTCCCCCGCAGTGTCGCCTGAGGAGATGACAAGTGTGATGTTTGCTATTGAGGAGGAACTGGTGGTTGATTCATCGTTTCTAGTTGCAATCGCCCTCGAGTACCTCCGCAGGTGAGCCACATCCTTTTTCTTTAACTTCATCTGTCGAGAAAAAAAAGAAAAAACAGGGAATTTTATATCGCTCCATGTTCATTCGGAAAAAGGAAAAAGAAGAAATAAAGAAAGGACAACCAGCATAGCCTTATGGCTATGACTGGTTCTATTCTGGCAAGTGCACTCGGGCTCCTTTTTCACTCACAGAGTCTTCTCTTGACTGCGGTGGGAAGACCCGTGGTGGCCCACCTGCGACGATGCCTCTCGTTTATCCGTTCAATATATGCTTCACCAGACTGACTGTCCGAACAAATCTATACACCTAGCGAACATGAGATAAACTGAAGAAATCGGGACGTTGGACGTCCAGATTTGTCGAGGCAAATGGTGCGCTCCCCCCCCCCC